CGACCAGCAGCAAGTCCAACATTTGCCCCATCTCTGCACTCAAACTCCCATAAGAAGATTGTAGAAATGAGAAACGGAGGTAAACAGCCGGTGATGGAAGTCGAGGACCTCTGGGATCTCCAAGAGTAGACAGGGAATTGATTCGAGTTCTTTGCTTTGAACGTGTTCTCCCCGTTCTTTTTCCCAACGAGGATAAGGTCGTCTGCCATTGTGGCAACTCGTAGTTGATTCATGTACATAGTCGAGATTAGGTAATACTAGTCGGAGAATGATAGGACGTTCATATTTGCTAGATTAATATGAAGTAACAATAGGAACCAGGTAGAAAGGGATGTTGAATATTTGCTATTTCATTATATTCTTTCCCATATTTGTTTCTTTGGTGGTAATAATGGTTTGTGGTTTATTCATTTGGAGTGCTGGGTGATAGTTTATGTATGTTTGCCCGTGTTATAATCAAACTGGGCATTGACCTAGAAAAGGACCAGGACGAACTATTCGATCGGGTCAAACCTAGTATTATAAAGATGCTGACTCTAAGTGGACATGCAAGATGATGGTCCAAGGAAGTATATTCCATTCGCACGTCAATTTTTAGGGCTCGACTGGTACAATCCATATGACATGATTAGAAGACGTGGTCATCAGTTGGACCTACGCGTTTGGACAGGGGAGTCATTAGCATGTGCTAGACTCGCAAGCAGAACCACCAAAACTTGCTATCGCTCAATGCATCGAGCAGTCTGATCAAGATTTACACCTTTCGAGCAATTCGTGCCATGTACCCACCCACTCCCATGGACTAAGGACAAGATTTGGTTAGACTATAGAAAAGCAACCTAGAAATATTGCTTTGAAGGTGATCATTTTGTTATTGGCTTGATGGTTTTTGTCTTAGAATTGTTCTCCCCTTGACCAACCACTTTCAATCTTTGCTTATGCTAATCCGAATTAGGTTTAAAAAGTATGGTAGACTGTTCCTTTTGCCATCCAACATTAATTGACCATAGCCACCTATTAAGTTGCATTCTTGAAAGTATGAACAATTGTTAGAAATTCAAAAGGCAAATGCACAATCAACAAATTATGCTATATACTCAATAAATTAAGATTTAATAAATTTATTTTCGACATTCATTAATTTATTCCGTGCGGAAAAATCTAGTGCATTTACAAGTATCACGAATTTTTAGAGAGAGACTTAGTCAAGATAACAAGGAAAAAAAATTAAAGAAGTGTTGCACCGTAGTTCGAAAAATGATTTACACTTCAATTTATGAGAACACAACCCCACGGAAATATGAATTGTTCCTCCTGCACCAACGGGTGTGTTTTCACATTGATGCTAATGAGAAGTACAGGGCTGAAGACAAGTCCATAAAGAAGAAGGTGGAGGCAAAGAATGCCTGGAGAATTACGAGTATAATATGAAGAATACTATAAAAGATGGGAAATTTGGACATGAATTGTTCGATATGAACAATACCAAACTCAACTCATTTGGAGAACACAACATGCCAGCAAAAAAGGACAGAAGATATAACAGTGACCAACATGCACAACAGAATATCTTCAAAAGTATTTCATCAATCATACAATGTTTCCACCCTTTGACATTATTTCATGTGTCGTTTTCCATTAACGTCTAAGAAACCAGAACCGATCCCAGAACCGATCCCCCGTTTTTCTTCCATTGCAAGAGTAAACCTGCAGGAAGCAAAGAACAATGATTGAAATCCTGATACTAAATTCCACCTAAGAAGAACTGAAAGGAGGAATCGAAAGATACATTGCTTACAACATAAAAAATTCCAAGAATTAATGGTTTGCAAGAACGTCTGAATAACGTATTACTTCTGGCCTTAAATGTACACACTCAGGTTTCTCTTGTAAAAGCATGGGTAGGCTAATTCACTGGTGAGGTATAGCTTTTCTTAAATGTAGTGTAAATCTATTCAATTTTTAGAATTATGAATGATTAATGACATCTAGCTGTATTGGTTCAACATATTTCTTGTTACTTGTATTATATTGCAATTTTTTGGTTTTCATCATGCCTATAAGCTCTAGGGCGCAACACGTGAAAGTATCTGGATATGATGTTTACCACCAAGTGCACAATGGGAGCAAATATTCGTAAGCTTTGGAAGAGTCTGGTCAACAAAACAGCAGTACAGCACAAATCACACAACTTCTACTTTTCCCTAATTACACAGTTGAATTGGGTTGAGTTTTTACAGTGACCACTAAAGCCGAGATCAACCTGTGCATGCCATGTAAGTGAAACCCGTATTGGGTAAACTTACGAATTTGATTTGTCAGTTACATCAATCACAGAACTACTCAAATCACACTATTATATGTGACTAATCGCCAAAGAAGAAAAAAGAAATAAAATTTAAAACCCACTTTCCCTACAGGAAAACACAAGGCATTATGGGCTATCAGCTGTCCGAAGGGTAAGAAAACCCAAAGGATATTGGTAGCTTATTTGCTAATCCCTTTACCCTTCTCCACTAAAATAAAACAGTTCAATTTCATACAGTAATCTTGCATCCCTTACAGAACCATCATTTTGCAATGGCGTTTCCCGCAATTTGGGTGACTA